GGGCCTCTCGCTCACTGAGAAAACAGACCAGAATATAGCTGCGAGCAGCGATTGCGGGCCCAAGCCGGTGGCACCGCACCCTTGATGCCTTTAGTTACCTAAAGGCACCGGGATGGTGGTACCGCGGCTTTGGCCCTTTTATCGCTGCTCACAGCTATATTTATATTTAATATAAAGCCCGGTGGCACCGCCACCTTGGTGCCTTTAGGGTTATCTGTATGACGTGCAAAAACGTAACCCCCACTTTGACTGTCGAAAAGAAGTGTATTGTAGAGCTTGCATCAATGCGGACTCGATGCGCTGTGCGCTGTAACTCCATGTGGCTTTAAGCGCATTCATTCTCCACTCGGGATGCGCATAAGCGTTTTGTGCCACACTGTACTGAGCCTTTCATATCATAATGCAATGACAGATTATTAATTGCCTTTCTTGTTCTGTTCTATCTATTATGTGTTGATAAAAGATAGGACAGAGCACTAAAAACCTCAAACAAAGCACTAAAAACTTAAGCTGTTTGCTGTGTAGTCTGAGAATGAGCTGTTTGATTTGCACCCTCTTCCTCTTCACTGTCCTCCATAAAAACCAGCTATCCAGGTCCAGGTCCATTGTTCTAGAAAGTTTGTATGTTGCTGCCTCATTTAACATCTCTGCTATACATTTAAAACATGTTGTCTCAATTTTATAGCAGCCATGGCTCTATCTAAAATAATTTATCTTTTTGATTTTTGTTATCTTGTTTTTCATGAATGTATTTTACAACAATACAAAGAGCAATGTGTATTTACCACTAATATAGTTTGTAATGGCTTTTTTTGTCATAGATTATAATCATATATTTTTTTGGATTTGTTATTTATCTTTATAATGAAGTTGTCTGTATTAAGTAGATTGTGTTTAACACACACAAGAGTGGCACCAAACACAGCTCTAAAAAAACTTGACACAATCCATCATTCAGCCATCCGTTTTGCCACTAATGCACCCTATCACACTCATCACTGCGACCTGTATAAACTGGTGGGTTGGCCCTCCCTTCATACCCGGCGGCTCCATCATTGGTTTCTCTTCATATATACAATTCTGGGCAAGGCACCTCTCTATTTGTCATCCCTATTTCATGCCGCTTATAACACCTATCACACAAGATCAAGTAATTTGATTAAATTTAGTATCCCCCCTACTTCTACTACCTTTGGACATAATGCCTTCCGCTTTGCATCAGTACACGACTGGAACATACTACAAAATACCCTGAAACTTACATCTCTGATCCCAATCTCCACCTTTAAGCAAAACCTCGAAAATTACATAGTTGACTC